TTTTTTTTATTGGCTTTTCTCCACTCCAATCATTGGTTAAGAGCATTTCTAATGCAATGCTACAACTGATATGTCAATTGTAAATTTAGTATTTGAGTGCAAAAAACACTATCCAATGCAATGTTATTTGTTATGCCAAATATATCATATGATATACTTTGTAACAAATTTCTCACAAATTATAGTATGTGGGAAATTTGACATTTGATTGCTATTGGTTGAAATGTTTACTTTTTCATATAATCATTGCAACATTTGCATTTTCTAATTATTTTAAAAATAAAAGTTCACTTTTACAACTTTCAAAGCCTAATTATTATGGAAAAAAGTAGATTTAGCATTTTAAATAGCATTATGCATTGGAGTAAAAATGAAAATAACATACTATATCATACTTTGCATTTGATTGTTATTGGTTGAAATGTTTACTTTTTCATATAATCATTTCAACTTTTGCATTTTCTAATTATTTTAAAAATAAAAGTTTACTTTTACAACTTTCAAAACTTAATTATTATAGGAAAAAGTAGATTAGCATTTTAAGTAGCATTATGCATTGGAGTAAAAAAGAAAATAACATACCATATCATACTTTTTTATGTTAAATATACAATTGGCATTAGCATTTATATTGAAGATAGTCTAAATGATTAGCTATTTTGGAGAATACATTTCACACTAGTTAAATATTGCTAGCAAGAAATGACTAGGCATCTGTTTCTTTATTATTTTATTATTTCAAACTACAATAAATGTAAAGGTTTTTTTTATTAAATAAAGTTATTTATATTTTAAATTCAATAAATATTACTCATCAAAAATAGAGAGTATGGTTAGAGTGACTCATCAAAAAATTGTTAGCCAAAATAGCTTTGTGACCATTTTAGCTAGAATTTAACTAGAATTTAGAGAGTTCCCTTAGATGTTTTAAGTAAACACATTTTTAAATAGAAAAGAGAATTACTCATCTCTTTATCTTTCCGTTGATGCAAAGTAAATATACTCTTATATTATTCTTCAAAATCTTTAAATTAGAGGTGAAAATTATTCTATTTTAAAACTTTTAAAAATAACCATTTAAAAACATTTGAAATCAAATTTTCTATCAAGCTATGGAGTAACTAGTGCCCTAAAAATTATTGTCGTACGAGGAGAAATTCACAGGTCAATCTTCACGGTAATTAGAACACCAATGGAGCTCAGGAAGGGGTGGGAAGCCCCCTAGCTCCTAGGGGTGCACTAGATGGGAAAAGACCTATTGATATGTGTACACTCTAAGTGGAACTAGTTTACGTGTATTTTTTTTAGAGAAAATACTATAATGAGTCACGAACTATGATCCGAATTATGTCACGGATCTTTGCTCCAAGTTGCAGAAGATATATAGTTACTCTTTCTATTACCGAGACAGAGACAGAGTATGCCATTGTGGCTGAAGCTAGCAAAGAGATCGTATGGTTGCATTCGTTCTTGGAAAAATCAGGTCACAAGTACAAAAGAAGTATATTGCATTGTCACAAGCATAGTACTATTCATTTGGTAAGGAATCATGTTTAATTTGAAAAGAATTTGATATTAACATAAAATTTTATTTGAATTAGGAGATAAAGGTTTTAATTAAAACAGCATGTCGTTCGTAAATACATAAGGGACAAAACTAGTTGAACCAGATTTTGTTTGTCATTGTTAATATGATAGAGATTAATCAGAAATATTCTATTCCTTAAATTTGGATAGAATTTGATAGTAGGAGATAGAGTTTAAATTAAAACGGCAAGCGGTTCAAAAAAACATGAGGGACCATAGGCCGTGATAGTAAACAACAACAAATTTTAGTATAGTAGCAATATGAACTGCCTTTTCTGAACCTTCAACTAAAATGGAATTTTGGCCATAAATAATATGTTGCTTTTGAGAAACAAGATAACAAAAACTGACATCGTTTTATTTTAGCGTAAAAGAAATACTAATACATTAGAGAGCTGTCATGTTGATATGTAAACGACATCAGAAGTTTAATGTAAGACAATACTTTGTCGTTTCTTCTCAAAATGAAGACAATCTGACAAACCCTTGGAAAACCAACGCTATGTCGTTTTAATAATTTAACTCTGACTATATCTCGTATAAACAACAAAATGTCACTGATACCGACATTTTTCTTTGTTAATGTAGATGAGAAACGACACGTTCGACTTAATAGCAAGCATTTGGAACACATATATATCCATTATCATAAAACGACAGCAAACTTTTGGACGACTAAAGCTATGCCGTTTTTATGTCTGAACGACAATAAAATAAACTGCAAATAATATGTACTTTTGGATGATAGACAAAGCCAAATTTGAAAAAGAAAAGTTCTATTTTTTGTAAAACTAAGCTCTTGCTTGGTAGAGTATGATCAAACTCACCAATAAACATAAACTGCATGTCCTTTTCCAGCTCAATGAGAGAAAATTTCCAAGCATAAACAATCCTTTTCTTAGTGAGCTATGAACGAGGAGACTTTACAGTACATGCTAAATATTCTTTCATTATTCTTTAAAATCTTTAAAATTATAACATTTTACATTTCATCAATACGTTCTTATAAATTTCTATTTTATTACGCAATTATATTAATTAAAATCTGAATATTTTATAATATATTTTAAAATTGGAGATGAAAAATATTTCAAATATAACATCCAAAATAATTTAAAACTGAACTATCACCTCTTAGAAACAATGAGGGATCGATTGTGCCAAAAATTCAGAGACAGCTAACTTAAGAAAGGGACAGTGGGAAGCGTCATTACGTGTTAGACTTTAGAAGGTTTTTTTTTTTTTTTTTAATATTTAAACTAGAAACTACATGTCGTTTTACATTGCAATTGCCAATTATGGAAGGTCAAGAAACCAGAAGCAACAATAAGTATAAGTTTTTCAAAGAAAGCTGATGAAGACCAATCTTATATTCTAAGTGATTAATTAAGCCCATTAACTACAAAATAATCTTATTAAAAAAAAACAAAATAGTCTTTGCACTGTACAAGGCATAATACTTTCTTCCTCACAAAGTAACTAAAAGAAGTATATCAAGGGCCAATAGCAATTATATTGGATATCTCTACCGTTAAACCAGCACCATATAAGGAATTTACGTTCGCACTTCAAAAAAAAAAAAAAAAAAAAATAGCGTAAAGTTAACTGCAAATCAGTCACGAGTATTATACAATTTACAACTAGCTAAGCAAAATCTTCATGAAAAAAAAAACCAGAAACAGTCTAATTCTCAATTCTCAATTAAGAAAATCTAATTAATTGGCACGGCGTAACGGCACAACGGACATAGGTGACTGATCTCCAGCCACTGAACTATGCAGTCTCTGTGATAAAGGTGAGAACACGGCATTCGTAGCACCGTCTGATTGTCGTTCCAATCCAAAGATAACTCTTCCAAACAGATCGTACAATTACACCATTTACTCGCCTCATCAGCACCAGAAACATTATTCTCATGATCAGCATCATCATTCTTGACCACCTCTAGCGCTTGAATCGACGACTTAGTCGTGGGGATCGGAGTTTGAAACTCCTCGGCAGATTCCCTCAAGGCACGCTCAAGCGTTGATTCCTCGGAGCGAGTAGTACCGGCCGGAAAGACGCGTACATGAATGGGGAGTAAGGAGGCGGAGAAGTTGTGGCGCTGGACGATGTCAAAGACATCGGCGGTTATTTCGCACTTCATAGAACGGGTGAGCCGGGAGGGCACGCCGGAAGAGTAGAGAATGTCGGCCATCAGGCGTAGAGTGTCAGCCAAGAATGTGGAGAGGCCGATGAGATTTACGACCTCGCTTTCGAGACCGCCTGTGGAGAAGCAGATGCGGAAGCGGATATAATCTGTTTCTTCGAAATTAGGTGGCAGGAATGTGCGCTGATCAATCTCTACACTGCAGTCGTAGCCTAAATATTGGGGGCTATTACTTATAATCCTCACCATATTGCTTCTTGCAAAACGTCTCTATAGCTCTGTGAACGTCTGTTGTGATTGTAAATCTGGTATGAGCGATGGCAAAAGTGAGGAAATTATATATAGAATCATGTAACTCCGAATCATTATGAAATACGAATTGTAAACCAAATAGGATAGCTTGGTACTAGGTCACAAATGGCTAAGCGTTTTCCATTAATTTTTTATGTTTTTTTTTTTTTTTGAAGTGATAATAAAAAAACGGAGAGAAAGAATTGCGGACTTCAAGTAGGAAAAGACCGTTAGAAATCAAATTCAACATGCAGCAGAAATAGTGGAACCAACTTTTATTTGAAATCGTTAATATGATTGAGATTAATCAAAAATATTGTGTTCCTTAAGGACATAAAGGTTTTAATTAAAACTGCATGTCGTCCTTAAAAACATATAAGGGACAAGAAACATATGTGAATGTGATATATAAATCGTCATAAATGGTAAACAACAACAAATTTTAATATATTAGCTACACGCAAAATTTTGACAATAAATGATATGTCGCCTTCTTATATAGGCTTTTTTTTTTTTTTTTTTTTTTTTTTTTTAAATCGATGCCCCAACTTTGCGCGATTGATAAATTAATTCTTAAACTAAATTTTTGAGGATTAATCCCTTAGACTTTACAATTTTGATATAGGTACTCCAATTGATGACAGTATCAAAAAAAAAAAAATTGGATGGAATGTCACATGCCCTCACGTGCGTGACTAATCAGACACCAAATTCAAAAATAACCTAAAAATATCTTTTAACTGAAAAAACCAAAAAAAAAAAAAGCAAATTGGGGATTTGATGTAGGGAGATTTGAGTATTAATAGTCATTTTTATATTTTATTGTCGTTTGTTATAGCTTTCTAATTTAGCTTAGTTTTGTTATTATTATGTCGTTTATCTTAATTGTTATTGTTATCGTTTTCTAGGTAAGTTATAAATAGCCACTTAACTATTGTATTAAGGGGACTGAAAATATTTTAAGAATTGAATACTAGAGTTGAGGTTTCTTTCTAATTTGGGGATTTTCCCCTTATGGGTTCTTTTAAGTAGATTGGGATTGCACGTCCCGTCTCTCATCCGGGTTAAGCCGAAAAAATTCTATCCCTAACCATTTCGCTGCATCAGGATTAGTCATTAATATGCCCTTCTCCTTTTCTTTATGAGCAATACTATTGGGCATCCGTAGTGCTTAGTACAATCCACTAATAAAATGTGAGTCCCGTAACATGAGATCCTATGAGACTCACATTCTATTAGTAGTGGTGTTTAGTACCGATAGTGCTTCTAAGTATTTTTCTTTCTCTATCGGTCGCACATGGCTCACTGATACGACATTTTTCTTTCTTAGAGTATACGGTGTCATAAGAAAAACGACATGGTCGACTTAAAAGCAAATTTTTGACAGAAGTGGGTTTTCTGAAAACGACAACAAACCTTGAGACAACAAAAGCAATGTCGTTTTTATGTCTAAACGACAATAAAATAAACAGCAAATGACATGTACTTTTGAGTGATAATCATATCCAAACTTAATTAAAAGAATGGTTCTATTTTAGTAAAACTAAGCTGTTGATTGGTAGAGTATCATTACACTCACGTATAAACATAAACTAAATGTCCTTTTTCAGCTCAATGAGAACAAATTTCTAAACACAGACGATCCTTTGCTTAGTGTGTTATATGCTATGGAAGATGAGACTTTGCAGTACATGAAAAATATTCTTTTATTATTCTTCAAAAAAATAAAAAAATAAAAAATAAATAAACATTCAAAAAAAATTTAAAACCGAACTATCTATTAAGGTATGGAGTCTAATTACTGCCCTCCTGATTATTTGTCTTATGAAGAGATTTTACGGATCAATCTTCGCAGTAAGGTCATCACAGGGGTTGGAAGGGGTGGGAAGCCCCACTCCTAGGGCGCTGGGCGGCAGGAAAAGTACTACTAATATGTTTACACTCTTGCCGTGGTACGTTTCTAACCTGCAAAAGATAGTTACTTTTTTGAGACAAAGTATGTCATTGTGGTTCAGCTAGCAAATGGATGGTATAGTTGTAGTAATTCTTGAAAAAATTGGGTCACAAGAACGAAAAGAGTATATTGCATTGTGACAATCAGAGTACGATTTCCTTGATAAGGAATCATGTTTATTGTGCAAAGACAAAGCATGTGCAAGTTCGTTACAGTTTTATAAGACCACTATTGGAGAATGGAGTCTTAGCAATTGTAAGATTTAGGGGAGACAGAATCTAGTTGACATTTTGACAAAGACTGCTCTGATTGAGAAACTGAAGTTGTGAGCAACTTCAGTTGGACTTATCTTTCGAGAAAAGAGAGTCGTTGTCGCGGTAGGGTGATTGTTAAGTTGTGGAGTCTATTATTGTCCTGATGATTATTACCTTAATTATGAACATTTCATTAAGGGTGGTTTAGAAATTTTACTGGAGATTTAGATCACAGGAGGTCTTTTACCGGTTATGTGTTTCGAGTACTCGGAGGTACTGTGCCTCACTTCAACTTGTTGTTGCATTGTCAATAACTGAGGCTGAGTAAATTGCTCTGACAGAGAGGCAAAGACGTTTGGTTCATAGATTAGAATCATGAGATTAGAATTATTTTCAATTTACGTGTATTTTTTGTGTGAGAAAACATTGTAGCAAACCATGAACCATTCGAATCAGGGTACGAATCCACTTACCAAAACTCATTGAGGAGCCGGGATTGAAACACATACACTTTATGGTGTATTGTGATAGTCAAAGTGCATTTTACTCATCCAAGAACCAAATGTTTCATAAGCGGACCAAGCACATAGATGTGAGACTTCATTTCATTAGAAATATATTGTCTAAAGGAGAAGTGAGGGTTTTGAAAGGTCTCCACAGATGACAACCCTGCAGACATGATGATCACTAAGGCATTACCAACAGCAAAATTCAAACACTGTTTGAATTTTGTTTCTGTTGAGTGTGCAGAACGAGGTTGTGAGGAAGAAGGAAATCAACTGAATTGAAGAATCAACGCTCAAGGTGGAGAGTTGTTAAAGATTTGACCATTGATTCTAGAGTCATTAGTGACATGGCACAGGGTTAATAATCTGTTAGGCTACAAGTAAGTTTTGAATGCTGATTTGACCATTGATTCTAGAGTCATTCTCATCTTTCATGTTCTTGGGTGATTTCAATTCTTGCAATTGGTAGATTCTATGTAATTTTGAGTCAACTCAGAAAGGGGTTTTTATTAGGATTTCACAACGGTAGCCATAGAGACTTCAGACTAGGAAAGAGTTTGAGACGGAAAAAAAATAATAATAATAGTTGATGGAATAGCAGTAATAATGTTTTCATCACGTGAAAACTTAATATTTTTAAAAATAATAATACTATGTTCAAAATGCTCTTTTCACTATTGTTAAAACAAATTCATTAAAACTAAAACCCTTCTCGTTTAATGTGATTATTGATGTAAAATATTTATATATGATTACTAATGTTAAATTTCTGATTTTTTTTATCCATTGTAATGTCAAGAATCATACCTATCAAAAAAAAAAAAAAAAAAAAAAAAAAAAAACTTTAGGAATCGTTTCCTCAAAAAAAAAAAAAAAACAAAACAAAACTTTAGGAATCGTTTCCTCAAAAAAAAAAAAAAATTTTTTTCTAGTATTTCCTCTTTTTTGAAAATACATATGTTCTCTACTTATTAGCCGTCGGATCTCTATTATTTTTTCAATCTGATTTGATTTTAATTAAATTTAGGGCTAGTTGCAGTTGTTGTGCTTTTAAAATAATTATTGTGCTTTTAATAGAAGCACTACTTTTACTTAAAATAAAAATAGAAGTAAAAATAAAATCTAAAAGCTACACATATTAACTTCTCAAAATAACTTAAAAATTGTATTGATTTGTGGGCAAAGTATTTTTATACACTTTTATCAAACATTATAGTTGCATCGTTTATGATGCAAAGTGCTTTTAGGAGTTTTAAAAGTAATCTTAAATACTTGATAAGTAGGGATATGTGTCCAAAAATGAGAAGACTAGGGAAAGTCTAAAAAAAAAAAGAAAAAAAAAGAGAAAAGACATGTCGGCTGTGTTTAGAATTGATTCCGTTTTTATTTTTTACGTTTTTTAGAAAAAAAAATGAAAACGTTTCTAAAATAGCGTTCGGCGCAATAAAGATAAAAATTGAAAATGAAAATGATTTTTTAATTTATTATAAAATGATAGAGAAATAAAAAATGACTTTTAATCATTTTTTATTTTTTATTTTTGTTTTCTCATCTCTCGAGCAGAGAGAAAGAAAGATAAACATTAATGAGTTTTTTTTTTATATTGAAATTAATCTCTTGATAAATTTACCAAATGTATTTTTAAAAATAATTTATGTTTGAAATTAAAAACGTTTTTATTTTCATTTTTATATAAAAAACAAAAATTATTTTAAAAAAAGCACCCGTCGTTTTCTTGCAGGTTGGGGTCAAAACGACGGCGTCGGGCCAAGTCTCCACAGAACTCAGAAGCACAAACGCAGTAATTGAAAGGCGTCGTTGTTTCAGAGCCGTCGCCGGTAGACAATGGAGAAGCACCCACAGGAACCCTGGAGGGTTCTCGAGTTCTACAGTGGCATCGGAGGCATGGTATTTCCGACAATTTTTCAATTCTCTCTCTCTCTGTTGTTAGCTGATTCTGTTGATGCCTCGTTAGGTTTTAGTTGTGTTCAAGATCAATCAATTTGTTCGTCAAAACTTCCCTTTATATTTTTATGATTTTTTTTTTTGGTCTTCTTGTTGTTAGAGGTACTCATTGACGAGAGCTGGACTAAACGCGAAAATCGTGGAAGCCTTCGACATCAACGACACGGCCAACGATGTCTATGAATTCAACTTTGGCCACCGTCCTTATCAGGTTTTTCTCTTTTCTTTATTGATTTTTTTTTTAATGAATTGAAACACATGACTTGTGTTGTTTGTCTTAGAATTGAAACAATGTTCTGTTCTGTTTAAAGTTTTTGTTGTTATGGGCTTGGAATTGCTCAGGCGTTTTCTTCCATTAAAATTCTGTTTGTAAATATTTATGGTCGGATATTATAGGGTAATATTCAGAGCCTGACTGCTACTGATCTCGACAGTTTTGGGGCACACGCATGGCTTCTTTCTCCTCCTTGCCAACCATACACTCGACAAGGTGACACATTCTTCATTGCATTTTCCCTTAATTCCTCGAAAATAATTCCGCTTTTTGCGGATGTGTGTTTGTATATTAGCAACTGACAAGGAATTTGTTGAACTTATTCTTATTAGGTCTCCAAAAGCAATCCAATGATCCTCGTGCATTTTCGTTTCTGAATATTCTTGAATTGATACGAGACATATCACGCCCACCCATTATGTTGTTTGTGGAGAATGTTGTTGGATTTGAGGTTTGTTCATGAAAATTCCGCTCCATTCTAGTAAGATTTGTTTGGTTGGTTGCCTTTTGATGTTGATTTTCTCTTCTGGTTATAGACGTCTGATACACATTCAAGGATGTTAGAGATATTGGAAGAAGCTGATTTTGTAACACAGGAGTTTATATTGACTCCATTACAATTTGGTGTGCCTTATTCCAGGCCACGCTATTTTTGTCTGGTACGTTTTCTCTGTCTGAGTTTCCCAGTCATCTGGAAAAATATGGGAACTATTACTTCTACTGTTTGCAGTAACTTTGGACTTTTATTTAACTTGTATCAATTTCCTTTGTAGTCAAAGAGGAAACCTTTATCCTTTCAGAACCCACTGTTTGATAATCAGCTTCTTTACTCTCCAACCCCATTGTCTTGGCATGCCGATAAAGAAGTATTATGCGAACATGATCAAACACAAGAGAGCTTGGATAAGTTGATCCGATCTTGTGAGCCAATAGAGAGGTTTCTTGAGTTGAAGAGTCCTAGCCAGCAACCAGGATCCGGTTTTTTGGATGCCACTGGTGCTCTAGCAGACGATTTTGGAGCTCTGGAGCAAGATGGTAAAAGGGATGGAGATGATGTTCGCTCCTTGAAACAGTATTTTGTCCCTTTAAACTTGATAGAGAGGTGGGGAAGTGCCATGGGTATCCTTTTTCTTTCTGATCATTATGGAATAGCATATTTGATTTCCAAATGTTGGATATTTATCTATCCATGCACAGACATATATGCTGAAATTCTTAACTCTGCTTAGATATTGTCTATCCCGATTCGCAGCGATGTTGTTGTTTTACAAAAAGTTATTACCGATATGTGAAAGGCACTGGCTCCCTTTTGGCAACAGTCCTGGTAAGATGCCATTCTGTCAACTTATGCTGAATTCTTCTATGATACTTGAGCGTTTCTCTATGTTATACCTGATTTGCTTCATTGCTTAAGATCTTACATCTATTTGTTAGGTGCCTTATTTCTTTCTTTGAAAGTCTATTTGTTGGGTACTTGCACAAAGCATGATTAGTATGTAATGATGTCTAATGTCACCATTGCTGGTAGGTGATATTCCAAAGTGATTTGACCTGAAGAGTCATATAAATGAAAATACCTTAGCTTAGGTACGAAAAAGGATATGATACTCGATGTAAGGTCTAATTCTCGTACCACAAGTTTGCTGTCCACTACTCATGAGTTTTTTTTTTTTTTTTTTTTTTTTTTTTTTTTTTTTCAAGCGTATAGTTCATGTTCATTATAATGAGAAACTTGCCATAGTTTTTCTTGAATAATGCATTTACAAGATTATAGTTATGCAGCCAGAGAAAAAGGGTAAAGCATCTTCGTTAAAGAATCAAGGTCTTAGATACTTTACCCCAAGGGAGGTATGCGGATTTCTTTCCCATCTCTTCTGAAGGTTTATTTTCATTTTCTTGCAAATCAAGCTTTGCTAAACCTCCTTTTTCTTTTTTTTTGGAAATTAGGTTGCTAATTTGCATTCTTTCCCTGAAGATTTCCACTTTCCACAACACATAAGCCTTAGACAACGGTACGATGTTGCTCTTGGTTTTTTTTTTTTTTTATAAGAAAAACTTTATTGATAAAATCAATAACAAGGGCAAAGGATAGAGAATCATCAAACCCACAAGATACAGAAATGGCCAAATGCGAAAAAAGATTTGACCAAGATATGAAAGGAAACAAAAAATAACTCTCAGATCAATTCCCTATTACATCTTTCAAATTCCAAATGACTAAAGAAAGTGGAAATCCTTTAAAAGCTTTATCTGAAGCAGCCCATAGCGATCCAAGAAACTTTGCCTTCTAAAAAATATCAATTGGCTCCATCTCCTTTTCCTCAAAAATATCAGTTGCTCTTGGTCTCTTATTATTTTTCACGTCCTTGTTATTTATCTTATTATATTCTCTATTATTTTGGTAAATATGAAGAATTCAGCATTTCAAATAGGACTATACATTAGGTAGGTTCACATTAAATTTAAGAGTGAATTTGGTGGTTAAAAAATAAATAAAACTACGTTGCACTCCTGTTATACATATAGGCTTTAATTCTTCCACTAATCTCTCCAAGATATTTGTTAGAAAATATGTTTAATACTCGTCCATTGCATATTATGTAAAGTGCATATTTGTAATAATGGGATACAGGTGGCATTTATGATTCGAGATGTTCATTACCTAATTTACATGACGCAAGCAGATTATTTGCATTTTCATAAAAGCATTACTTCCAACATTTTTTTAAAGCAAGAGAACCACTAGTTTGGTGAATTAAATTGCAAGATTTAGCCGACTTAAAAAATAAGAACGTTACAGTCACCACCAAGACACCAACTGAAGACAAAGAAATGTTGCAATTCCCCGCTAGTTAGTTGCTATGTAGAAAACTTCTATATTTTCTTGTGCTTGAAAAATATATGAACAATTCTATTTCTCAATCTATGTTGCAGTTATGCATTGCTTGGAAACAGTTTAAGCATAGCAGTGGTTACTCCTCTACTGCAATATTTATTTGCTGAATCTTCACGATAATCCGACGATAAACGCTTGATCAAGAACTTTCTATCTGGACATGGACGAAGACTTTTGACCATGAAGGAACTTCTCTAGCTGGTTTAAGGATTCATATTACTCAGGTAGCTCGCTAGAAAGCGTGTCAATGGCGATCCAACATAATGTTATTTTAGATGTACAGTCTTGCTCACAGATGTTCACCTTTTCAGAGCAAACACAAGATTTTACCAATATGATATTAGCTCTTTATATAACATATAACAACTTAGATTTTAAATGATATGTAATAAGATGACTATCACTCTTTTGTATTTCATGAGAATGAGAACTTTCTTCTTGGTTGATGCATATAACTGTCTTAGAAGGAAAAATGGTTGAAATAAGTAGGGGTGTGGAAATGCGTTAAAAATAAAAAGTGAAAAACGATTTGGCAGGATGTAGTAGACTATTTTGAATTTTCATATATATATATATATACACACACACACACACACATATATATATGTTTCTTTTAAATTTTACGGACAAGATTTTTATTTTTATTTTTAAACGTGAAAGATATCCAAATTCCAAGTGCGAGGATAAAATTGTCAAATAATAAGTTCAATTAGTTTAATTTTACTTGCCAATAATTCTTTGAGTTATTTTCTATTCTAATTTTTTTAGGAAAAAAAAAAAAACAAATATGAAGTATCCTACTTAAGGGAAAACATACGGGGAAAGCGGAGTTCATGATAATAAAAATTCGAGCAAAGTTATTTATTAAGGATAAAAACTAACTTAATAAATGTTTAAAATTCAACATTCGAATTAGTCTCCAAATATAACTTTTTTTGTATTATCGTGTAATATCATTTTCTTTTCCTTTGTGTAACATTTGGTTCACCAAAGTATAATATTAAAAAAAAATGTTAGCTTCATTTTTTCTGTTATTTTTTGTCACTTACGGCATTTATTGTTTAATACGTGAATTTTATTAACATAATATATTATTATTTAAATGAAAATAAATAATAAAATTCACGTCTTAAATAATAAATGCGAGCCGAAAAGTGACAAAAATAGTGATACTTACGTTTATCAAAAAATAAAGTCCAACACATATAATAATATTACACACTTACAAATGATGTTACACAGAAAACAATAAAAGTCATATTTTTCGGATTATACGGTTGTTGCTTTGCCTAAAACTTATATAATTTTTCTTTAAAACGTCTTTTAATAGTTACCAAACAAAGTCATGCACAAATTTTATTTATTTTCACTTTAGGACCAAAAAAAAAAAAAAAAAAAAAAAAAAAAAACGAGACAGGCTGTGCGTCCCACGCTCCCTCGTAGCCTTTCCCTTGTTAGAAGTTAGACCTAGGACTTGTAACGCAAGCATTGAAAAAGAACGAAAAATAAAAGAAAAGAAATATACAAATACATCAATATTTCATATTTGTTTTCTTCCCTATTCTCATTTCTCACAAACCCTAGGTCCTGAGTCCGAATCCGATCCTCGTTTTGTTCCTGAATTAACAAAATCAAGCTCGATATCTCTTCCAGAATAAGATTCATAAATTGATTTTCAGAAGAGCTCCTGTGGAATTACGTGAGTTTTATCACGAAGGTCAGTCAAATCTGGTCCCAATTTTGATTTTTAGGGCTTTTGATTTCACGATCTTAACGCTTTATTGTTTTCGTTTATTTTTCGATTAATTTGTTGTTACTTGTAGGAAAGTACGTAATTTTGATTTAGATTTCAGATTGTGTGACTTATGCCCCTATCTTGAATGTTCTTTTAGGGCTTTTGATTTCATTATCTCAATGTTTGCCTGTTCATTCAATTTTTCATTATTTTGCCTATATTTCCAAATAAATGTGTGATTTTTAATTTATCGTGTAGATTTTGCACGTTGTGGCTATACTTTGAATGCCAAAGTAATCAAGTTCTTATTTTCAATCATAGGCAATCATTTTCACTCTATCCTTCTTTTTTGTGTAAATTAGATCGTTGTTCTTGAATATGTTTAGTTGTGTTTCTAATTAAAGCAACAATTTTTATTGTTTATATAGGTATCGAGATATTGTGTTCCCGATAAGTGTAACACAGGAATAATGAGATTCAAGAAGGGAAGTAAAGTGGAGGTACTATGCAAAAAAGACATGGCCTTAGGGGCGTGGCGTGGTGCAGAGATCATCTCTGGTAATGGACACACCTACTGTGTTAGGTATGCAGCGGTTCGAGGCATGGAAGATGGGAAAACTGTGGACAAAGTTCCAAGGACATCCATTAGGCCTTGCCCACCTCCTGTGGGCAGTGTGGTGAATTGGGCTTCTGGTGATATTGTGGAGGTGCTTGATGCTGGTTCCTGGAAAGCAGCGATAGTTTTGAAAGTCTTGGATGGGGGTTCTTGCTTGGTCAGGCTTCTTGGCTCATTCATGGAGTTTAAGATTCACAAATCCAAGACTAGGCCGCGTAGGACTTGGCAAGATGATAAATGGGTTGTATTTGGAAAGGTAAACTTTTAGCTGGTTCCTTTTTGTTTTGCTTATTGCTGTTGAGAGTGTTTAAAGTTCTCTTGCTTTTGCTTGAGACCTTTTGAATTGAATCCTTCCAAAAGTTTTAATTCATCATCTTTTTCACTCGTTGGATATATTTGAAATATTCTGCCACTAGAGTTCATGAATGGCATTTGCTTTCATCTTGATGGATCAGTAATTCTTTTCAAACTATACGTCTTTTTTTCACCTCTCTTACTCACGTTGATTTTACTTTTATCATGGTAATAACAATGTGTTTTTTTTACCGCTTGGGAATTAGTGCTCTGTTATTCTTTTGTACGCCATGCTATTGTACTAAATATCATTTGTTATGTCTTCACAGGGTTGTGGGAGTCGTGAAGCTGCAAAATCCAACAACTTGCCAAACTTGAATTGTTGTGATGTTCCACAAGTTAATGCAAGAATAAGGCTCCCTGCTGGAAATGATGGTTTAGCTCTTCAGGACAACAATTATGGCCAGGATTCTTATATTGTTTCAGCTAAGTCATTGAAGAGAGCTTCTCCATTTTGTTCTTCTCAAGTTGAAGCACATCCTAGTAAAGTGAGAGCAATTCAGAAATGGACTGATCATCAGCAAGTAATTTCAAGGTCCCCATCTCCCCTGCTGAAAAAGGTAGATGCTGTTGCTTCCCCACGAGATAATCTGGGTGAAAATGGCATGCATGCTTCCTTTAGTAAACAAACAAATGGCCATTTTGAAATAGAGAGGGAGAATTTAATTGGTGCTAGTTCATGTTTTTTTGAAAGGAGCACAGAATTTAGTGATTCTGATAGTGGTGCATGCTCTGTTGGTAGTTGTAGTGTCAGTAGTAGTGGTATGAATAAGTTTCCTAGTATTGTTTTAGCAGGTCCTAGTCAAGATGCAGATGCTCATTCTAGCGATGCGGAATCTTTTTGTGGCCGTGAAGATGAAGAAGAAAATTGTTCTCTTCCTCTAAAAGAGGAAGGGGCATCAAGAATTCATAGGTTAGAGTTGCATGCTTATCGAAGTACCATGGTGGCAATGCATGCTTCTGGGCCCTTAAGTTGGGAACAAGAAGCATTATTAACAAATCTCCGTATTACACTTCATATTTCAAATGATGAACATTTGATAGAATTAAGGAACCTAATTTCTTCTAGAAAACCTAAATGTTTGTTAGCTTATGATCAATGAGACATGCAATACTTGGCCTCAATGCCCTTGATATGTAAGAAACAGTAAATGATACATTTAGTTATGTCTATTTTGACTAATTGCATTGGCTTATATTAGATATGTAATTTACGAGTGTTGTATCAAACATCTTCCAAAGAAATGAATATTTCCAGGTTCATCATGGTGCTGTTATCTTTCATTATTCTTTTATTATTTATTTCTTTTTCTTTACCTTTCCTGCTGTTTTCAGGGAGATTATGGCATGTACCTAGTATATTTTATATTTTATTGTATGTCTTGAATTCTTCTTTTTCTATATTCAGTCTTTAGTGTTAGTCTGAAGTCAATAAAAAGGGATGTAATTATCAGCTAGTTAAACATTCTGTTTGAGAAGTTATGTTTCTTCTGGCATAAGAATGTTAGTGACAGACTGTAATTCCTTTTGTTTTGATTAAAGCAAATTTTGTCAAAGCTAATGTGAAATAGCTTGACCTCTTGTCATTTGACAGCTTGCGGCTTCATTCAAGAGTGTTATTGATGAATCCCCTGCCTTTTCAGGGCCAAAGTTGGAGGCTTGCTTGCCTTGCTTCCAAAGGTCTTAAGATGATGCTGGGGTTTGCACCTTGCACCTTGCACCTTGCACCTAGCACAAAGAATGGGACAATATTTGCATTCAAATTGCTACATATATCACGATATATGGCCGGCAAATGATCCCATTATTTCCTGAATTCAATGATGTAGATCATTTCTAGCTTGCTGGAACTATGGACGCATCTTTTGCCAAAGCAGAATCCGAAGAGATTGCCTAATATGCAAAGGTCTTTTTGTCAAATTTCTACTTTGAGATAACGCGTATTGCTTTTAACTTATTCCTGATTACATATATTGAGATATTTCTATCTCTTATCTTTTTTTCCTTCTTTCGTTTTTTATTTTTTATTTTTTTATTTTTTGAAAATTGACCTCCAATCAAAGGTTCGGCTTCTGATGGTGAGTTTTTATTTATTTCACTATTTACTTACCATTTGAAAGGATCTTTTTTTTTATTTTTTTTTACCTGCTTTCGAGCGGATGATTTTAGGAAACTGCTTTGGTATGCTTATTTTAGTTTTCTTTCTTCTTTTTTCGTTATTTTATTTGAGAGTGAAAACAACTTTGTGGGGAGGTAATCTTGTTTTTCGTCTGCTTTTCACATTCCAATAATTTGCTATCATTGAGAAATTTTGAAAAATTTCAGACATTCATTATCGTATTGAGATATAATGATTAAAACTATATAACTATGTAGTTTCTTTTGGCCTGAGCTTGTTGCTAGTGATCAAAGACAAGTGAGCTGCTTCAGGGGTTCGATGCTTTTATCTCGTGAGGGGGTTTCTTTAAATTCTTATGGTCTTTGTAGTCTTCTTGGTTTCACTTGTAAATCTTCCTTTTCTTTAAACTCTGCAACACTTTTACCATATTCCTTCTGGCTGTTCCTTTTAAAGAGAGATTCTCCTGTTTTGCTCAGCAAATGCACATCTTTTACCAATGGGATGGTGAGATTATAGAGCAATTATTTTCTTTTTTCGGTATTATACCTCGCAGTACGGTTTCTTTAACGGAAGGGGATTTTGATGCGTTCAGCGGGACAAGAAATGGTCTTGTGGAGGTATTTGCTGGCTTTTCTGCGGAGCTTGCGGCTGCGGCTGAATGAGTGGTTGTTGAGATCCTTGGGAAGAATCGTTTATTTGTGTAAAATCAAATACAACATTTCACTTTATAATCCAAGTTTGAAGAATGTCATTATTTTCTTTGGTTCCATTTGCTCTTTGGTTTTGTCTCTCTCTTATCTTGTGAAGCTCTTTTACTTTCTGTACTTTTTTATCTCAATGAAAGGACAATTGAACAGCTTGTCTTGTGGAGGTATTTGCTGGCTTTTCTGCGGAGCTTGCGGCTGCGGCTGGAAAGGAATGAGTGGTTGTTGAGATCCTTGGGAAGAATCGTTTATATGTGTAAAATCAAATACAACATTTCACTTTATAATCCAAGTTTGAAGAATGTCATTATTTTCTTTGGTTCCGTTTGCTCTTTGGTTTTGTCTTTCACTTATCTTGTGAGAGCTCTTTTACTTTTGTACTTTTTTATCTCAATAAAAGGACAATTGAACAGCTTATCATACATATGCATCTCCCAAGACAAGTTTTTATAGATATGATATAGAGAGAAAAGAAACAGTTTAGAGCAATTACCCTGCAAGCTTTCTAGCAAGATACAAAAATGGCTTCTCAAAGTTGTAATTGCTCTTGGCTGAAATTTCATAGTACTGGAGATTCCTCTTCCTGCGAAAGGCAACCTGCTTTGCTTTCACCTGCCTATTTTTAACGTCCACCTTGTTACCGCACAACACGATGGGAATGTTATCGCACACCCTATGAAGATAGGGAGAAATAAAAAAATTTAAAAAAAAGGCAATTTTCATGTTTAGGAAAACGAATGGGCGACGGAACGAGGAAAAGAAAGGAGAAAGAACTAACAAAATAGTGCAGAAAATTCGGCAAATTTGAAGGAAGGTAGGTTTTTTTTTTAAAAAAAAAAAAAATTTAACTGTAGTAGAAAAAGTTAAATATGATTTTTTTTAAAATTTTTAATTATAGAAACTTAAAACTGAAAATTTAAATCGGTAAAATAAAAAAAGTCTTAATTATTCATAATACCTAAGAATGAGAGTTTTTTTTTTTTTTTTTTCTACTAAAAGAATGAGAGAAGTTTGTTATTTAGGAAAAAAGGTCTTAATTATTTAACTACAAATACTAGCTTTCAAGGATATTTTTGAACCACCAGTTAAAGAGAAAATAAATTTCGGTAACATTATTTTCTTTATTAGAAGTAGAAAAGATTATTTTCATAAATACCTTTTGAATTATGTATTACGTGCCAAAATGTTCTTTAATTTTTTAAAATAATTTAAAACATCTCTTAATATATAAAAAACAGATGAAATAGCCTCCTCTATTCACTTCAGTCTATAAGTGGCACGTCATTAACCATTAACTAAAAGCATTAAATTCTAATTAAACTTGTAAAAGTGATTTAAGTATTAAAAATAATAATAAAGAATATAAACTATTGAGAAAGAAACAAAAGTGACTCAAAATTATTAATGCCACGTCAGTTTATCCATTAAAATAATTAGCACAGTTGATCTGTTAAAATAATTAACAGAGATAAGACGGAAGGAGTTATTTGAACTATTTTGTATATATTAAGAGATGTTTTAAACTATTTTAAAAAATTAAGAGGCTTATACACACTTTAGGAACATTTATAAATATAATCCAAGAAGAAACTTCTTAATTTTAAAACAATCAATGTGAAAAATAGGAGTATTCGTATAATTATCAGAATTTGAGATCATATTAGCATTAAATTTTAAAATAACATCAATCAACTTGTTACTACCTACTCGGACCTCTTTTACAAGTTAATCAGTTTTTTTTTTTTTTTTTTTTTTTTGGATAATACACAAAAAGTTTGTTAAAATACCACTTTCGCCTCCCTTATTATACAAATGCCCAAACAATCCTTATTCAGAACATCTTGAATCTGAAAATGCCTACTCATTATGTTATTTACAATAACTTTGATTGTCATGCATATAAAAACGTTTATAACCTGGCATAATGAAAGGAAAAAAAATTTAATAAATCAACAAAATAAGAAAAATAACATAATGAATACTCAAATTTAAATACAAAAATCAAACAATTAAGTTTAATGAAACCTAATTAATAATAATAATAAATAATAAATAATAAATAATTATAACAAAAATAAAGAACGATTAATATATTAGCATTAAAAAAAACATAAGTTTTATTTTTTTAGGATTTAAAACATGATTTAAACATCACATTAGAATTTAAAACTCAAATTTATTTTTAACAAACACTAGTTTTATTGAACAGAGTTCAAACCACTTTTTAATTTTACAAACAAACACTAACTTGAACCTAAACCATGGTTCAAAGCTTGAGAATTCACAAACCATACATACCTTTAATATAGTTTGAGAAGGATGATAATGACATTTTAGAAAAAATACTTTGAGCGGTGTTTTTTATATGGTTTTAAAAACGCAAAAGGTGTTTTGAACATTTGTATAATAAAAACAAAAACCATATGTTAACAAAAGGCAGCGGACGTTTTTGGTATTTTCCCTTTATTTTCCGTTACGAGCACACTTTTTTTAATCGCGGATTATAATGAAAAGCTCAACTCCAGGGGATTTTAATCAAGAGCACAACGATGTGCGTATCAAGCAGATAATGACTGGATAACGGAGAAGGCAAGAGCTGATATAGATAATTAAACATAGAATCTTACATATCAAAAGCAATAGAACCCCACAACCTCAAATTGAATACAACCAGGAAAACTCATGCATCGTTAACAAACACCAAAACCACCATATCTAAAAAAATGGTTACAGGACACAAAATCCTGATAGTAAACTCTCAACCAAACAATGGGTAGCGCCATCCTCTAATCGAATGCATCGTCATCATCGTCTGGGAGGGGTTGATTAGCAGCTTGAAGAAGCTCAGCCTCATGCCTGTAACATCATGAACACAAAATGCATTGTAACATTAGTAGGCCAAAAAGAAATGAAGAATGGAAAAGCAGAGGGAGAAAAGATTACTTCTGTTGCTCAGCCAGGTCAATTTGCACTTCCGGAGGAGCAAGTGCAGGTGATTCCACAAAATGCAGATTTGGATCCCTAAAACAAGAAACACCTCAAGTTAATAGATCGAAAATATGCTTCACAGCCTAAACAAGTATTCTAATCGAAACCGGTGTCTCTACCCGGCAAGTTTTCGGGCAAGGTAAAGGAAAGGCTTTTCGAAGTTGTAATTGCTCTTTGCTGATATCTCATAGTATTGGAGATTCTTCTTCCTGTGGAAAGTGACCTGCTTGGCCTTAACCTGCCTGTTCTTCACGTCAACCTTATTTCCACAAAGAACAATTGGAATGTTTTCACAGACCCTGCAAAAGTTCATACCACAGAACCATGAGATTGACGTAATCAAGGAAAATCAATAAAACAAAACCATCACCGAACGACAAAAGATGACTGGTATATTATTCTACCTGCAAAGATCACGGTGCCATGTTGGAACATTCTTGTATGTCAAACGGGCAGTAACATCAAACATGATAATTGCACATTGCCCGTGAATGCTGCACACAAAAAAAGAGGGCATAAAATTAGACAAAACAAGTATTCTTCGCAAATTGGATATGGCAAAACATATCAACCAGCACATACATCAACATCTCTATGTCTTACAAAAGCAGAAAAATCTGTAAGTCCATAAATAAATAAAACGATAACTGATAAGTACAAAACAAGCTACCAAAGAATGAAATCAGAGGCAAAGTGGAAAAACTAATGTATTTTCAAAAATCCTACAAAAAAAATACTCACTAGTATCCATCTCTAAGACCACCAAACTTCTCTTGACCAGCTGTATCCCAGCAATAGAAGCGAATTTTCCCACAGTTGGTGAAAAAGTCCAACGGATGAACCTCCACACCGATAGTTGCTGTACATATAAACATGGCACAAATGAAATCTATAAACCACCAAAACTCCATAAGAAAAACGGAAAAACAAAAACATTTTTTTCATTATCATTGCCACTCTTTCTTGCCTCTTAAAGGCAACAGGAACAATATGCCTTTAGAACAAGAAAGAAAACCTTTATTGTTGCTAAGTAAACAATGTAGAAGTACAAAGCCACAAGAAATTCTTGCGAGGCACTCACGTTCATATTTTTTCTCGAACTCGCCAGTAAGATGCCTTTTCACAAAAGTTGTTTTCCCTGCATCACTCCAAACACTTTCAATGAGGAAAAGAGAATAATTCAGAAGAAAATAATGTATCACTGAAATCCGTATATCTAACAAGAATACAGAAACACGGCTCAGAACAAAAATCATTCAGATCAACAGACAACAAAAGGAACAAAAAAGAATATGTTTCCCACTAGATCAGACTGCAAATATAATTGAATTCAAAGATTTGAAATGATTATTTTGGATTTCAGGTCAAAGACAAATTCAAAGGCAACTAAAAATGCTGTTCAGTGGAACTCGTTTGGCCAAACAACATGCACAAAAAGCATAAAACACAAATCAAAACTCCAAATCTAAGAAGAATCGAATCACCAGTTGTTCATTTACCTTAAAAAAAATGCAGAGATTCACTTGAAAGGGAAAAAAAAAAAAGCTCTTATCATCCTAAATTCAAACGAAAACCAACAGATCATGGCAGAAAACAAACTTTCGGAGAGGAAAATTACCTGTTCCACCATCGCCAACGATTACAAGCTTGAAGCTAGGATAATCGACGGTCTGCTGGTTTGGCAAAGCCTGAAAGTTTTCAAAAGAAAAATCGAAATGCACAAACAAGAATCAGCTTTCTCAGCAACCAAACAAAAGGAAAGACGAAGATCGAAGAAAGAAAACGCAAAAGTTTGGAAGAAAATGCGATAGAAGATTTACCATATTTGAATTTGCTTCGAGGGTTGGAGTGGCGCAGAGAACAAATGAGAGTGTGAGAGGGAAGGATTTCAGAATTTGTGGTGGGTTTATATACGAGGAGCGCCTTGAGAGACGCTGAGACCCTAGTGTTTTTTTCACTTCGCTTCAAACGGACGCAGCTCTTTAAACCGTCCGATTGATCTGCAAGATTGCTTTTTTTACTTCCACGTGGCTTCTTTGTCAGATGTGTTGTAACGGGTGAATTTAATTAGGGTAATCTTGACAATCATGATTCTTATTTTTTATTTTTAATTCATAATTTTTTTAGTTAAATAATTACTGGATATTTACGGTAAAAGTCTATATTACTTTTAAGGATAAATGTTGTAATTTTCTCGTTTAATTTCGGGCTTGTTTGGGCCTTTGAGAATTTAATGGGCTGATAGCAATGGGCTCATCCTCGCTTGTGACGGTCGCTCCGTCACATATTTGAGATCCGGAGCGCGATGGTACAACATTGCCGCCGCTACTTCAACAACAACAAAAACTAAAAATACCACTCAAAATAGTAGGAGGAATCTTGATAAATATTCTTTTAAAAGTGAATAAATTAATATCTTTATTTTTTATTCTTAATTTATAATTTTTTTAGTTTAATAATTATACTAATAAAAAAATATTTATCAAGAATAAGGGATAAAATTTAGACTCATGCACTCTTAAATATATATTTTTTATTTTTTTAAATAGAGTAGGTAGTATAGTAGTATTAATTAATATTTATGTCATTAAAATGGCATAGTAAAAATATATTTTTATTAAATTAATAAAAATATAAAAATATATAATTGTCATAATTTTGTGCATATCTATTATTTATATTATTCTAAATAATTGGGTATTATCGTATTTATTTTCTCTTTAATAATTGAATGACAATTACTTATTTTTAAGTGAAGTAGCATAAAGAATACTTTTTACCATCTTAAGTGGTATTTTTTATTTTTTCTTTGAAAAATATTCTTAAATGACTTAAACTTTGAGAAATTGTTAAGAATGTCATTAATATTTAGTAGGCTTTTAACGGTCAGATATGCGTAGATTCGTATAAAAAATTTATAACGCGTCGTACAGGATTACTCTTGTTGTAGATTTGACTGTTGAAAAAGTAATCTAACAGTAAAGAAAATATTGTTCCACCGTAGAGCACTTAGTGGTGTTTCACCAAAAAAAATCTTTTTTTTTAATTATTTGTAATTACCTTCTTTTGGGGCACCTTGAGTATAATATATATATATATATATATGACTAATCAAACAACAAAACACGGAGAATGTGTTTTAAGTTAATCAAGTTGGAGTTTTTACTACTATTATTTGTGAATCAATAAGAGTTTGATGTCGTGATGCATTGTTGTTGCAATGGCTCACCGAGGTTCTTTCCGCACAAGAGGGATTGACTCATTACGAAGGTTGAAACTTAAAGACGTGACATTTATTATGGCATTTTGGTACTCAAAACCACAACCGAGAAAACACCATATAAGCCAAGTGCGAGTTGATAAAATGGCTCATTCCACTGTGAAAGTCACTAATAACATCCACTTCATAACTCAAATCGTTGGAATTACACAAAAGTGACCACTCCAACAAAATCAAAACTATCATACATTATCCTCATTCCTCCCCCACCCAGTATACATCATATAACATATAATACGCTTATTTCCCCATCTTAGTCTAAAAAAAAACACACACTAATTAAAATTTTCCCTCGGCTTCTATTACGAAACACAAAGAAAAAGTATTCCAACTCGTGATCATATAACATATAATCCGAGACCAAATTAAGGTATTGATCACCACATCATCATACATATAAAAATACATCTCATATATGACTAATCAAACAACAAAACACGGAGAATGTGTTTTAAGTTAATCAAGTTGGAGTTTTTACTACTATTATTTGTGAATCAATCAGAGTTTGATGTCGTGATGCATTGTTGTTGCAATGGCTCACCGAGGTTCTTTCCGCACTAGAGGGATTGACTCATTACGAAGGTTGAAACTTAAAGACGTGACATTTATTATGGCATTTTGGTACTCAAAACCACAACCGAGAAAACACCATATAAGCCAAGTGCGAGTTGATAAAATGGCTCATTCCACTGTGGAAGTCACTAATAACATCCACTTCATAACTCAAATCGTTGGAATTACACAAAAGTGACCACTCCAACAAAATCAAAACTATCATACATTATCCTCATTCCTCCCCCACCCAGTATACATCATATAACATATAATACGCTTATTTCCCCATCTTAGTCTAAAAAAAAACACACTAATTAAAATTTTCCCTCGGCTTCTATTACGAAACACAAAGAAAAAGTATTCCAACTCGTGATCATATCACATATAATCCGAGACCAAATTAAGGTATTGATCACCACATCATCATACATATAAAGATACATCTCTTATCTTTTTAATTTGCGCTTTTTTCTCACTTTGGTTTGCGAACGCTCAACAACTTGATGTCGTCAAGAACCGGACCACAAAGGGACGAGAAATCATCGCTCCTCATGGAGTAAAACGTGCTAAGGAACATGATCCTCGTCCTCGTCTCGGTGGCGACGAAAGTGAGCACTCCACGCTTGAATCCTCCTTTGCCTTTGGACTCGTACGGCACTTTCACGGTGGCGCGCCCCGCGAATGCCTCCACGATCATGGACCCTTCGCAGGAGTTGCTGGCGTCGCCAACGGAGAATGTGAGCCTGTAGGTCTTGCCAACAATAGTCCGGACCACCTGTGCGATGGCACTCTCCTTCCCCGCGACGAGCTCGACCGCTCGCTTGCCATGGGGCACCGAGAAGTGGTCCGAGTCGATGTACTTGACGGCCTTGAGGGACTCCACCATCCAGTAAGGGAGTGGAGAGTGGTCGTCTTCAATGTTTGGAGGGATTAGGACGCCTGTGGTGGTGTTGAACACGTATGGACCGTATTCGAAGCTGGGATTCCTTATTAAGTTCTCTACACAAGATGGAATGATTGGGAATTATTTTAATGCATGAAAATAGATAAAGATAAATATATACATTTTTTAAATAAAAAAAAGGTCTAAGAAGGATTGAGTACCGCTCAGAATTTTTTATCATGATAATTCATTACCGCTACGTCACCCCACTCGATAATAAGAGTAATGTAATTGTTTAATGTTTCCAAGTGTTGATAGTGATGAGAATCCGCAGCCCCACGTTATTAATTTGGTGAAAAAAGATTGGATTTGTGTCGGGGACAATGGGGCCTGAGTTTTAGCAATTTGCAATGAGGTTCATTAACTAAGGTCTTTCTAATCTACAGAACATGAGATTTTGAAATATTATAGAGTACTGACAGCTTTGCATATACCAAATTCAGCGCTTTCATTGAGCCTAGTGGAGACGAGACGAAAATTATTGATTTGTATGTTTTCATCATCTGATGTGTGTATGATTCAGTAAAGTTTGTTAACTAGACAGGGTAGTTTTGAGCCATTATCAGATGTAACAAAACCTTGGGCGATCTGTGTTCACTGTTGAGTACCTACTGTTTACTGGGACCAACTTTTTTCCACACATTTGCACTCATTTACTGGTGAAGAAATAAGTACTCGTACATCCTGGCCTTTAAAAATGGTAAAACTTACGGCTTAAAAAAGGGGGTGTGGTCGTGTGGTCGTGTGGTCCAAACCAGGGGTGAGGGGACCCTCCTACTTTTTTACTTGTTTGGTTTCCTATGTAATTGAAGAATAGACTATTCTTCCTTTCTAACAAAAAGAAAAATAGACTATTCTTAAATTGAATAAATTCAATTTCCCTCAAAACCTCAAAGTACCTAAATGGCTAGGCAAATGAGTAACTGGATGAAGAAGACATCGCACTCAATGAAAACAAAAGACCCCTAAGTTATAAAGGTACATATTTTGCCAATCACGTGTTCACATGTCAGTTCTAAAATATATAAATCATACAAATTTATTGTACCGCTAATTAGTTTAGGGCTAATCTATTATCACATATCAACTCTTATACACACACAAATCATTTATTGTCCGTTTAGTTTACTACGTAATTTTATGTGATAATTTTTTATTGTAGTAAAATTTAAATTTTAAACTCAAATCAGTGTCGTTTCACATGTAATCATATTTAGCAAGAAGAAAGAAATACATACCGCTGGTTGGTTTAGGATTAACGAGTTCCTTAATGGCGATGGAGTCGATGAGGGGGCCGCAAGCGGGGTCTTCCTCAACACCGGGGTTGTGGATGATGATCTCGACCAGCGAAAGCGGGGCGAGGAACGCCCAGGAGTAGCAGTCCCAGCCGTTGCTGCCGTAGAGCGTCTGTATGGGGAGCAGGCCCGAGTCGGGCGGAACGGACACGTTGAGGCGCTCCTCCTGGGCGCATGTGCGGGCAGCGCAGAACGTGAGGGCGTAGAACATGCCCTTTGTCACGTTCAGCCTCTGCTTGATCGACGCCTCGTTGCCCAGCCTCACGGCGCAGGCTCCTTCCGGCACCACCAGCAACATGTCGCCTTGCTTCTGCCCTGCCTTTATGTACTCCACGAATCCCGAGATTTCCCATTCTGGAATTGCGTAACGCCCTTTAACTTCCGTGCCGTTCAGATCCGACGCCTTTGGGGCCAGCTCGAAGTTCCCATTCTCTAATAGCCCTGCAATATTGGATGCATCATATTAAGTTTTCATTTATTTTTATTTTTTTAGAAGAATTCAACTTAATTATGTGATTTAATTAAGTTGATTAAGTTGAATCACTTAATTATGTGATCATTTAGCAAAAAAAAAAAAAAAAAACTTAATTATGTGATCATGAATCCTGATGCCACCAGTTAGAGAAATTGCTGACGACGTTCTTTTTCTTTTTTTTGTTTCAAATGCTTTTATTGCCTATTGGTGACTATTTACGATCCCATGTGGGATTTCAGTGCGACTCTGTAAAGCTGTAAAGAGTGAGCAGAAGAAGTGCAGGCCTAGAAGCAAAGTTTAATCACGGCCGTTCAAATCTCTACTACTACGAATCAAGGCCGTTGGCTTAGGCGGCCACACCAAAAACAAGCATACTGATGTGGTGACATTATATTACTACTCTCCTCTTGCAGCCAAGTTTATCCATTTAAACTAGACTAGATGGGGTTGAAATGACAAAACCATCCTTGGGAAATTCGAATTCTACATAAATGTTCATTTCTAACCAAAGCTTGCTTGAAAAGAAAAGGCAAAGTCTGAAGCTAAGCGGATGATCTTCTTTTTTTTTTTTCTTTTTTTTTTCTTTTTTTCCTCTTAAGTAGGAGAAAATTTGAATTCAAACTATAATCTACCGCTAAGTTGTGTCTGTAACTACGCTACTCGACGCTTTATTATGTAAGGATATGTATTCATGTTATGAGTGGCTTACCATCTTTAACACAGAAGGAGAAGTGGCAGGTGGCTAACAATAGTACCGACAATAAGGCGAAACGTTTCATGGTGAAAGACTTGATTTTTGCTGCAAATTTAGGAGGGAGGGAGGGAGAGAGAGAGGTGAGAGATGGAATAATGCATAGAGGAGAATGGAGGCGAGGATGGGCTTATATGCATGCCCAGCTAACACAAAGCCCTCTGATTTGAAGAGAAATATCAAGACTTGCCACTTTCTGAATTGCTGATTCCTAGACAATGACCATTTTACCCCTATGTCTTCTGCGGCAACCGACCTAAATTTGAACCCCCGAATCTGATCGTCATCTTTTGGCTCTTTACGGATTGAAGACAAAAGCTGTTCGATATCACGTGGTTTCAATCCCCTAAGCTGATTTGGGTCGTAGCATGCCCGGTCACGAACACCAAAGGCTCAACTTTTACTAGATGTCGTTAGAGGGCAGTTTTGTCATTTCATTGCCACGTTTAAATTTCTCATTAGAGTTAAAACTATCAGGTAGTGATTGGAATGTTTTTGTCTCGGTGACCACAGCGACCTTAGATCAAGACACTCTTTGTCGGATCAAGGCACGTGATTATATTATTATTAACGTTAATTTCAGTTTACTAAAAGGACATTAGAATCTAAAAACTGTTGGGTCAATCCACTGAAACATGTCGGAGACTTCACTTAATAAGAATACGTTTAATTATATAGGTTCAATTATGAAATAAGCTAATCAGTTAGATGGTTTAGTTTCCAAGTATTCTACTAATAAATCAAACCACGTGCAGTGACAGAGAAATTTGCGCCAAATTAGGCTTTAAATTTTGTATTATTGTCATTTACTTCTGTAGCTCTGAAATAATAGTAACGTGGGTTTCAACTTTCAAATCAGATTTCAGCTTAAGTTACTTCGTTTGGTTAGAGAATTCAAATTATGTGATTCAAATCATTTTTGATTTACGTGTATTTTTTGTGAAAGAAAATACTATAACGAACCACGAATCATGATTCGAATCAGGGAACGAATCCCTCTATCAAACGCCAGAATTCAATTAGAATTTGTTATGATCCTAATCATTATTTTCTTTGAGTTGGATATTTTAGTCACTACATTTCTAGTATTTCTTTTCTTAAAATAAAAACAAAGTAAGATTATGTAAACTAGTGGATACAAATCTATTTTCTTCTTAATTAACTTTTTTTTTTTAGTTGCTATAAAGTATTTAGCCTTTGTCCTTGTAATCCTTGAACATTTCTAGCTCTCCGTTTTTGGTTCTGCTATAATCGTGATTCGGCAAGATCTTTTTGTTTGTGGTGTATGATTTGTTCTGAAACAGACGCATAATGATTTTATAAGCAATAAGCTATACATTTTAAGTCGTAAGTGTTAACATGTCAATACGTGTTGCATGCCCAAATTAATATCTGAGGCATATAGAACCACAGTCATGTATAAAGGCCAAATCGCTATTTAAGTTGATCATGTGCTGCGAGCACCAATATTACTGCTCTGTTAAGCATTCTAACATGTTTCTAATTCCATTTCCTTTTGTTTTTCCTCTCCATTTTTTTTATCTCTCTCTTTTTTTTTTCTTTTTTACCACCAAACTTTTAGAGGCTTATACTACCTAAATCTATAAATCTATAAACATAAATAGAAGTGGCAAACACCACTCCCGTTTTTCGACCAAAACCGTTTTGGTAGAAAAACAACTTCTCCTCCCTCTTTTATTTTTTCAAGTCCTTCTTTCTATTTTATTTTTGTTTTTTTACCTTAAATCTTATTTATTTTTTCATTTTAGTCATTTTTTACTATTTTCCTATTTTTATCCTAAAATTTTATTTTATTTTTTATTTTGGTTATTTTTACCTTAAAATTTATTTATTTCTTCATTTTGACCCGTTTTATCCTTTTTTTATTTTTTGTCTTGAAATTTTTTTTTTTTCGTTTTAGTTGTTTTTACCCTAAAACTCATTTATTTCTTCATTTTATTCATTTTTTGGACGTTTTACAATTGCCCCCCTCCCCCTTTTTCTTTCAAGTCCTTTTTTTCTTTTTTTGTTTTTATCCTAAAACTTATTTATTTTTTATTTTAGTCATTTTTCCCTTTTTTATGTTTGTCCTAAAATTTTATTTTATTTTTTGTTTTGGTTATTTTTGCTCTAAAGCTGATTTATTTCTTCATTTTGGCTCTTTTTATCCGTTTATTTTATTTTTACCCTGAAATTTTAAAATTTTTTATTTTTGTTCTTTTTACCCTAAAATTCATTTATTTCTTCATTTAAGTCCTTTTTGACCCTTTCTTTTCATTGTATTGAAATTTCCTTTTTCTTCTTCTTATTTTTCTCTGTTTTTACCCTAAAAGTTATTTGTTTTTTTAATTTTAATCCTTTTTGGTCATTTTAGCCCTTTTTTTTACCCTTTTTTAATTTTTGCCCTAAAACCGTTTTGGTAGAAAAACAAGTCCTCCTCCCTCCTTTATTTTTTCAAGTCCTTCTTTCTATTTTGATCCTCGCTTTCGTTTTTCAACCAAAACAACCACGTTTTGTTTGGAAAACAATTCCACGCCCTTTTTTTTTTCCCTTCAAGTCGTTCTTCATTTTGGTCTTTTTCACTCTTTTTTTTATCCTAAAACTTAATTATTTGGTTTTATCCCTTTTGTACTAAACTTTATTTATTTATTCATTTTAGTCCTTTTGACCCTTTTTTTTTTTGGCTTCTTACCTTTGTATTTTGCGTGCTCAAAATGTCGAGAACTCCATTCTACCAGTGGCCAGATTGCGTTTCACCATTTCTGAAAGTGTACATTCCAAGCCCTTACCTTTTACCCTCATACCAGGCCCTCTCGTAGCGGTGCCCGTTGTTGAAATGATAAAACTCTATTTTTTTCTATTTTTTTTAGATTTTATATTCAGATTTTGTACGCTTTTAATAATGACACAATAATTAAAACTTAATACATGAATTACTCTCCATGTGCATCGCACATTGGAGACAAACTAGTATACAAAGTGGTGGTGTACAAAGGCATCTCCTTCAGCCATGTGTGATGCCTTTTGGTTCCTTTTTTTTTTTTTTTTTTTTTTTGCTTTTCTAACTGTATTGTTTGCCCTATTGGTTATTTTTATTTACATTCTTGTCCTTTGTTATGTATAATGGCATCTCCTCTAGTCCCTTTAGGCATTTCTAACTGTACTATTTTTGTTAACATTTTATTGTTTTCATGTTACGTTTTAAAAATTGATGGATAAATTGTTATAAGAGGTATAATTTAAGGAGAATTTTTAAAATTAATCTAAAAAAATATGGCCCTGGACCAGTCTTAAAAAGGGACACTTGTCATTTTCCTGCCAAATTCTTAGCTATTTCTACTTTCTTTAAGTCTCTATTTATTTATTTACAGTACATGATACTGGAAATAGGTAATAGTAAGACCATTGCACGTGCATAACTTGGGAAATAGGTTGACTTCCCTTATGCATCCAGCCTATTCACTAATGTGAATAGGTTATACAGAAGGGTGGGTTGGTTATAGACTCTTATGCGCGTTCCTTCTTCGAACCTTTTGGTATGTATTGCCCCCTAACTATAGATCAGATCCACCAGACGTCGTGTTTCCGAACCAACAACTACAGCTACAAGTGGGCCATTACCTTACTTTATATAGTCTATAGCTGCCTCGTAGAAATCGCCATACTTTTCTTCGAATTCGTATAGAAGTACCCTTTCCTATCGGACAACTAGCTTAGGTACAGATACTAGGGTTTTTATTACAGTCGTAGAACTATCTTATCTTGTAATTCGTCTTACTAAGAGCTAACTACAAGGGGTACACTAACAACACGCTTGGATCCAATTACTCCCTTCGATCGGACAACTAGCGCATCCTTCTTTCCAGGGTAATTTATTTATTTACAGTACATGATACTGGAAATAGGTAATAGTAAGACCATTGCACGTGCATAACTTGGGAAATAGACTAATATGAGTTGATGTGTGGTGTATCTCTTAAAAAAAAAATAGAGAAGGAGAGAAAAAGAAAAGGAATGCTAAACTTTATTGCAATTGCAGAAAGATGCTATTTAATTCTCTCAAATAAACATAGCATAAATGTCCTGTTTATAAGATGTAAATCTTAAAGCAAATCTAAATCGAAAGCAAATTTAAATCTACTTCGAAACTGTTGATACCAGAATTTCTCACACACCGATGGCCCACCGGCGAAGTATTGTCCCCACTTGGGCCCGCCGTGACGGGTGGGGTTTTGTCCCTTCGTAAAAGGCGCCTCACTGGATGGAGGGGTCGGCACTTCGGGACTTATACCTCTCTAGACCCCCGTCTCCAACCGATGTGGGACTCTTGGCATACAACAGTGCCCCCCGAGACGGGGGGACTGGGGAGGCAAGCCGTGGCCAAACGTCCCCAGTGGAGTCGCCAACTGTTGATACCAGAATTTCTCATACCTCGATGGGGGTGGGGTCAGGAGAGTGCCCCACGGGGAGAGTGCCGGCCCCTCACCCCAGCGAGGCGCTCCTAAGGGAGACAAAACTCCCTCATGGGCAATCCATTCGGCATAAGTGGAGACAATACCTCGATGGGGGTGGGGTCAGGAGAGTGCCCCACAGGGAGAGTGCCGGCCCCTCACCCCAACAAGGCGCCTTTTACGAAGGGACAAAACCCCACCCGTCACGGCGGGCCCAAGTGGGGACAATACTTCTCCGGTGGGCCATCGGTGTGTGAGAAATTCTGACTGTTGATACTAGAATTTCTCACACACCGATGGCCCACCGGCGAAGTATTGTCCCCACTTGGGCCCGCCGTGACGGGTGGGGTTTTGTCTCTTCGTAAAAGGCGCCTCGCTGGATGGAGGGGTCGGCACTTCGGGACTTATACCTCTCCAGACCCCCGTCTCCAACCGATGTGGGATTCTTGGCATACAACAGTGCCCCCCGAGACGGGGGGACTGGGGAGGCAGGCCATGGCCAAACGTCCCCAGTGGAGTCACCAACTGTTGATACCATAATTTCTCATACCTCGATGGGGGTGGGGCCAGGAGAGTGCCCCACGGGGAGAGTGCCGGCCCCTCACCCCAGCGAGGCGCTCCTAAGGGAGACAAAACTCCCTCATGGGCAATCCATTGG